GGGATGGCCAAGGGGTACTTAGTGATGGACGCATTAGGGATGGCCAGGTATACTTAGCAATAGACACACACAGTAATCAATGAACCAGCTTAGTCATCAAGAAGGTGGGTTTGTTAGGAAAATGACTTTGTCTCTTCTTGCCTTTGCTGTCTGTTACCCTCCACCATCTGCCGAGGGATTGCATAACACTAAAATGCAATCCTCAGAAATGGTGTCTTCAACCTCCAGAAACATAAGGAGTAAAATTAATTTTCTGAATAAAATACCCCACCTGTAGCATTCTCATACAGTGACAACAAAAGGAGCACAGCCCCTCCCTCAATTCTCTCGTCCATTTTCCGGACGTGATCACCGTGTGGAAGAAAGCCTTCATACCCTTGCTTTTCAATTCACTTTCTAAACATGCTCCAGTGTCTGCCTTTTTTCCAACTGTATTAATTTAATTTAAAGCATTTAGGGCAAACGTGTGTCTGTCCCTCTGTTTCGTGCTCCTAGAAACTAATCTGTCATCTTCGCCTCGCCTGTAGCAGAGTGGGGAGGGAAGCATTGTGAGCCGGCTGACAGGGAATCTGAGTTCTGACCTTAGCCCTGCTGGAGGACCTTATGCAATCACTTAACCTCTCCGTGTACGTGCTGACACCTGTAAAATATGGGGTCAACTGATGATTTATTAGGGCTCCACCAGCCCTGGCATCGTATAATTCAATGGCTGCCTCAGAAGAAAGCCAATAAATGGATGATGGGCTAACAGGCCAGCAAGCTGCTTCCTCTTGCTCACAACCCCGGATAGGAGGGTGGCCTGACAAGGCCAAAAGGAGTTACGCTATCCAGCTGAAATTACTCTCTATTGAAGGTGCACAGCGGTCCCACCTCCCGTCTCTCAGTCCTTTCATCACTAAGTGGAAGGAGCTCGGCAGAGGCGCAGAGGGAGTGGGTGAGACTGGGCAGGGTGCCGGCGGCTGGGCTTAGGTCTGTGGAGCTGAGCAGGAAAAAGCTCATCAGGTGGGAATCTGACTCCACTCACAGCCTAGGGGTTCTCACCAGATCCGGTTGCTGTCTGTGTGAGTCGGGGTTCTCTAGAGGAACAGAACCAATAGGAAATGAACAGGTTTATTTGATTGGCTTACACACTTAGAGCAGGAGATAGTCCCACAGAAGCCGCCTGCAGACTGATGAGCCGAAGAAGTCAGTAGCTCCCCAGGCCAGGAAGCTGCGGCCTCGGAGTAAGAGAAAACAATGATTGTTTGAAACTCCAGCTGAGGCTAAACACTTGCTTCATAGAGAACTGCTGGTTCGAGTCCACAGCAAACACTGAAGAAGCTGCCATCCACAGGCAGCAGCAGAATAACGCATGCAGCTCACGACGATGCGTGCACCAGCCCTTTTATTTATTATTTATTTATTATTTGTGTGTGTGTGAAAGAGAGAATATGCAGTTACACACATGTCACACACATGTGTGGAAGTCAAAAGACATCTTGCAAGGGGTGGCCCTCCCCACCACGGCCCTAAGGACCAAATCCTGGTTGCCAGACTTGTACAGCTAGCAACCTTTACATATCTAGAAATTGTGCCTCTGTTTCTCTGCTCTTCTATTCTATCCCAGCCCCCAGACTGTCTAATGCCAACAGTAACATTCACACCCTGGGTGGCTCTTCCTCAGTCTCTGGAATACCAGAGACTCTGCAATACCAAAATTCTCTGGATGCACTGTCTCTCGAGACGCACCTGGACATATGCCAGGACTATTACTAGGTATCTGAACCCCCACATGAAGATAAAATCATCGCTGTACCTTAGAATCATGAATCCTAAAGACTCCTCACTCTACCTTGCTGTGGTGAGGTTCCAGGCTCTGCCAAGAGATGCCTACCCCATGAAGAACAGCTACAGAGGAGAGAGAGGAGGTTGAGGAGACCCAGTGACAAATCATCCACCTCTCAGGTACCCACCTTCATTTCTACTGTTGCCGCCCCACACAGCTTTCCCAAGGAGTTTGTCCTGGGGACAGCTGACTCAGAATTCAGATTTTGAAGATTAGACTACAAGAATTCAATTAAGAACTTCAAAGTTCTGTGCCAAGTAGTAACAGGAAATAAGAGAAGCCCAAGATGTATAAAGTTGTGAAACATAACACATTGGATTCTTCAGGAACCCTCACCGAAAGATCCTATGGGAACAAAGAACAGGCCCCCAAGTAGCCTAGTGAAGAGAAATGATTGTCGAGGTGTGTTCACAAGACTGAGGAGTCACTGGTCACTCTCTGAGTGTCTCTTGGGCTCTTTGCTTGCCTGTTCTATCCTCCTCTTAGAAATCGGCATCCCCTACCAGGTAGGTCTCTCTCCCCTCTCCCTGCCTGAACAGCTCATAACCCATAATCATGACATCCTGTCAGCCACCGTGCCTGCCTCCCACAGTCAGCACAGGTAGCATTTGGTGCAGACTCAGAAGCACCACACAGCTTTCCTAAGAACACCTACTAAATGCCCAACCATGGGAAGAGAGTTATCAGTCAGGTTAATCCTTCAAATGTCAAACAAAATTGACTTCAAAGGCAGACTGATGCTCATCCACTAGAAAAGCACTTTACAGTTGATGCTTCCACCAGTGCAAAGGCAGAGACTCGGTGCTGGAACCC